CTTTAAACTTTCTATACTTAGTCCAAAATGAAAATTGATAGGATGGTTAAAAGCTTAACTTATAAGTTTTTTTTTTCAATGAGTTATAATTACACATCAAAAAACAAAACTACAATGACTTAAGTTTGTTAGCATGGCTCTCACATCCCCTAAGAGCCTGTTTGGTTTGAGGGGAGGGTAGGAGAGGGAGGGGTAGGGAAGGGGAGGGGAGGTTTTATTCTCACCTTGTTTGGTTTGATTAGAATGAAAGGGAGGGGAGGATATTTAATGATCCTTTGTTTGGTTCAAGAAGGAGAGGGGAGGGATAGTAATAATTAATTTACCATTTTACCCTTACATATTAGTTTATGTTTTTTATTGATATATTATAAATTAATTTACATCTTAATTTAAATTATATAATTTAATAAAAATTCAGTCTTATCATGTTAATATGTGTATTAAAAAATTGGTACAGTAATTTTTTATTCTAATTAATATAATAATATATTTAAAATAATCAAATTAACAAATTTTATATGCTCTAAGAATATAATATTATATTCTTCTGCGATATCTACTAATTAGTCTGCTCTCATTACTACTTCTGACACTGTTGTTGATCCGTCCTGGTATTTTGACTCTGGAGCAACGAGTCATCTTACTCATGATCCGACTTCTCTAGCTGAATCTTCAAAGTATAATGGACCGGAGCAAGTCCACATTGGTGATGGTGCAGGTTTGGCTATCAAATCTGTTGGCACCTCTGTTATTTCCAATATTTCTCCTTCTCTTAAACTGAATAGCATTCTTCATGTGCCACGAATCATTAAGAATTTAATTTCTGTCTACAAGTTTTGTTATGATAACAAAGTATAGGTTGAATTTGATGAACGACAGTGCCGCGTCAGGGATCCTAAAACTAAGCAAATTCTCTATCAATGCGATGTTAGAAATAGGATGTACCCTGCGTTGGACCTCAAGTTCAAGCCTCATTCTGAAGCTTTATTAAGGTTTGGAGGACATTTTTACAATATTTTGTGTTCCATGAGATCTAGCTCTTATGGCAGTAAAAACTAATGTCTAATAACTTTTAATATGTATATGGTTGTCGCATGTTTTCAAAAAATTAGAGCGGGTAATTTGGGTTAACAAGTCTGAAAAATTTTAGGGTTAAGCTTAGAAAAACTAAATTTATAAGGCTTTTTAAGTTAAAGGCAATGATTGTGCCAATCAATATAAGTATCTATGCACATGCTCTACTATTAATGTCAGAAAAATTAATTTCACACAGTTCTTATAGCTTTATTAGATTTTGAACTAAACCCTTATATTTTTCTTTCATTGGATCCTTTTAGTTTATTATATTAAAAATGCAAGTCCTTTTGTTAATAAATACCCTAGCACCATTAACACATGCGTGATGTGGCACTGAAAAAGCTGTACATAGACTTGTTCTTTCTCTAAAATACTCTCTCTCATTTTCCACGGCCAAGCATATCAATTCGATGACCTTGTTCTTTAACTGATTCTACTTCTCAGTCAATATTGGTGCACTACTTCTGTGCTTGTGGATTCTAGACAGCGTCAGGTGAGGATAAGGCTTCCTGTGGAATTTCTCAGCAACTGGGTTTCTCGCAATGCTTCGACCTATGTTGTTTGCACCAAATGTGGTTAAAATGCCTTTCCATCATTGCGTAGTATCGGATTTTGTTTATATATATACACACCCCCTATTGTTTCAAAGGCCTTATTTTGTCGGCAGTCTGAATCTGTATTAAACATCGAACTTGAAGTAAAAGAAACTACAAGACTGGAGAGAGATTCCAAGAAGAAAGCAAGGCTAGCCTTTGAACATTACTAACTCATGCTTCATGTTGTATGCCACTAAGGATTATGATACGACCTCAGGTATTTCATTGATTGGATGATTGTTAGATGTTGATGCTATTATCAATGAGAAGAAGCGAAGAAATTAGAGCAGTTAAAAAATGAGATGCAACCATGAAAAAAAAATGCTTCAGTGTTAAATATGATGGCGAAACCAGATAAGTGGGAATTTAGATACAGCCATCATGAAAGAACGCATAGTGCAGGCCCAAAAGAATTGGTATCTTTCTTATTTAGCAGAATAATTGTCCATTACAAGTTGTAACCACAAAGGTCCTCCTATTTATCTTCGGTGCAAGACAACCACACCGAACTAAAACTAAAACTAAACCTGAATGGGCCCTTGGCCCAATAACTAAAATACATTAGTATGTTAACACCCCCCCTCAAGTTGGAGGGCGAAAAATATCTACAGCTCCCAACTTGAACAACATTGTCTTCAAGGTCTCTGCCTTAACAGACTTAGTGAGTAGGTCAGCCTCTTGTTTAGAAGAACGAACATGCATTAGATTGACCAGCCCTTGCTGGACTTTCTCTCGCACGAAGTGACAATCGATTTCTATGTGTTTCGTGCGCTCATGAAATACAGGATTCGCTGCTATGTGCATGGCCGCCTTACTGTCACAATGAACATCAACTGGCTTTAATTGATTGATGTTCAAGTCTTTAAGTAAACCAACCGTCCACACTATCTCTGAAACTGCAGATCCCAATGCCCTATACTCAGCCTCTGCAGAAGAACGTGACACTGTAGCTTGTTTCTTTGTTTTCCACATGATCAGTGAACCTCCCAGCTTCAACAGATATCCTGTCACAGACCGCCTAGTAGTTGGGCAAGCTCCCCAATCTGCATCACAGAAACATGTCAGGTTTAAATTCCCTTCAGTGCTCAACAAAATCCCTAGTCCAGGTGTCCCTTTTAAATATCTTACTACACCCACTGCAGCAGCCATATGTGACTTTGTTGGTGTGTGCATAAACTGACTTAGTTCCTGCACAGAGAAGGAAATGTCAGGACGGGTTGTTGTGAGATATATTAAACGTCCCACCAAACGTCTATAACGTTCTGGGTCTCTCAAAAGGTCCTCCCTCTTATCTTTCCTTTCATCATAGGCTCTCAACCTTAAATTCTGTGCCATAGGAAGAGAGAGTGGTTTACAACCACTCAAACCAGCATCTGAAAGAAGGTCTAATAAATATTTTCTTTGAGTTAAAACAAGTCCTTTCTTAGATCTAGCGATTTCAATTCCTAAGAAATATTTCATAACACCTAAATCTTTGATCTTAAATTGATTATGCAGAAACAATTTCAATTCCTTTATACCTGCTTCCGAACTACCTGTTATGAGCAGATCATCCACATAAACTAAGACTATCACAAAACCACTATCCAATTTTCTAGTGAACATGGAGTAATCATGCTTACTTTGATAATATCCAGCACTGATTAATGCAGCAGTCAGCTTACTATTCCATTGCCTAGAGGCTTGCTTAAGCCCATATAGAGATTTTCGCAATCTACAAAACATGTTCTTCCCTTTGTTTTCAAAACCTTGAGGTAAAGACATATATACCTCTTCTTTCAAATTCCCTTGTAGAAAGGCATTATTAACATCCATTTGATAAATGTTCCAGTTATTCATTGCAGCAACTTTCAAAATGATTCTAACAGTGACCATTTTAACTACAGGAGAAAAGGTTTCATGGTAGTCTATTCCTTCCTTTTGTGTGTATCCTTTAGCTACAAGTCTAGCTTTATACTTTTCCATACTACCATCAGCTCGATACTTAATTTTGAACACCCATTTACAACCAATGGGCTTCTTATCTTTAGGAAGTTTCACAACATCCCAAGTTTTGTTGTTTTCAAGAGCTGTAATTTCAGCTTTCATGGCATCCACCCAAACAGAGTATTTAACAGCTTCAGAATATGATTGTGGCTCAGAAACATAATCAATAGAACAAAGAAAGCACATGAAGTTAGAAGAAATATTACCATAATCAAGATAACTCTGCAAGGGATACTTGCATTTTTGTTTACTATCACCAGACAAGCCGTGATCAGAGGCAACCAAGTTACACATGTAATCCTTTGCCCAAATGGGTGCCCTTCGCTGTCTAGATGGTCTTGATTCAGAGGGCTCAATAACTTGTGTCTCTTGTTGATCCATTGGAGGCATCTCATTTAAGCCACCATCCTCTGGTTGCACTTCAACAGAGGAATCTGATATGGGCAGATCTGTTCTTTCAACAAAATCAAAACAAGGAAGAGGATCATCAATATAAAATACACCTCTCAAGTGCTGACTTTGTCCTCCATGATCCTTGGCTATACTATCACGATAGGGAAACTTATTTTCCATAAAGGTTACATGTCTGGAAGTGAATACTCTCTTTTCAGTAAAATCATATAATATGTAACCCTTTTGGTTGTGGGGATATCCCAAAAATATGCATGGAATAGATCGGGGTTTTAATTTGTCTGTGACATTTAAATTTGTAGCAAAAGCCAAAGACCCAAACACACGCAGCATCTCATAGTTAGGGGATTCACTATAAATGATTTCATAAGGAGTTTTATACCCTAAAACTCTTGAAGGAACCCTATTAACCAGAAACGTTGCCATTTGAACACACTCACCCCAAAATTTAATAGGCACTTGGGACTGTATCATTAAGCTTCTTGAGATTTGCATTAAAGTCCTATGTTTCCTTTCTACTATCCCATTTTGTTCAGGTGTATAGGGACAACTTGTTTCATGAATGATTCCTTTCTCCTCAAGGTAATGTTTCAAGTCGTGATTTACAAATTCTGTACCATTATCACTCCTTATTCTTTTTACATTAACAGAGAACTGATTCTGCACATAAGCAATAAAATTCTTGATGTGATTACCAGTTTCTATTTTACTTTTCATAAGAAAGGTCCAAGTGGCCCTAGAAAAATCATCTACTATAGTGAGAAAATAATGATGCCCTTGGTGTGTAGGTGTTTTATAAGGTCCCCACACATCCATATGTAACAACTCAAAACAGAATTTAGATTTAATGCAGCTTGGGGAAAAGGGTAGCTTAGTTTGTTTAGATTGAGCACAAATTTCACAAGCTTCATCCATTGATATATCCTTGTCATGTACAACATTCAAATGCCTCATTACAGATAAAGGAGCATGTCCTAGTCTCCTATGTATCAACCAAATATCAGTAGAATTACATGACTTATTCCTATTACTAACTGTGTTAACCGCATTATATTTCTAATCACAATTCAAGAGATACAGACCACAAAACAAACTACCAGTCGCCTTCTTCTTCCCATCCTGAAGGCCCTGCATAAAACAGTAGTTAGGAAGAAAACACACCAAGCAGTTCAATTCCCTAGTTATACGTGGTACAGATATCAAGTTGAACTGCAATTGTGGGGCATATAAAACGTTCTCGAGATAAAAATCATTAGTGAATTTTATTCCTCCTATGTGAGTAGCCACAACTTTTTCTCCATTTGGTATTTTTATTGTTTTAGTCGGTCCTTTATAATCAGTATAATGGTCCAAAAGTTTTAAATCACTCACTAAGTGGGTAGTTGCACTAGAGTCAATCACCCATCTAACTATCATATTCAAGCAAGAAGTTGATTCTGCCAAACCTGTACCAGTCAAGGCATGTATGGCAGTGTCTGCATCTTTCCTTAGCAGCTCCAGAAGACGCTCGTACTGCTCTGGCGTGAGTGAGGTTGTCACTGTATTGGCCGAATGAGCACTGGAATCTTTTTCCACTTGTACTTGATTGGCACTATCAGCTCTTGTTGCTCTGCTTTTATTTCCTTTAAAATCCGGTGGATAACCAATAATTTGGTAACAATGATCTTTCACATGCCCCTTTTTATGGCAATGTGAGCATTCCAAATTTGAATTTCCTCTTCCCCTTCCTCTTCCTCTGCCATATCCTCTGCCTTGCACGATCATGGCAATACCTTCTGTTGGGCTTTCGATATTTGAGTTGGAGATTGATCTCTGAGCCTCAACCTCACATATCATTGCGTACGCCTGGTTCACCGAGGGAAGTGGACTCATCAACAGGATTTGGCTCCTTGCTTGACTATAGGTTTCGGTAAGACCCATCAAAAACTGGAGAAGTTTCTGTTGTTGAATCACTTCCCCATAAATCTTAGACGTCTCACATTTACAAGATGGAATCGGGACCAGAGAGGATTGCTCCTCCCAGAGTTCTTTCAGGCGTGTAAAATAACTGGAAACGGAAAGGGAATTCTGACGAAGGGAAGATATCTCTCGGTGTAGGAAGAAAATTCTCGAACCTGTTGCTTTGTCGAAGCGTTCTTGTAGGTCCAACCATACTAACCGAGCATCTTGGAAGAAAACAGCACCGTTCGCGAGCTCCTTTGAGATCGAATTCAGGATCCACGATAACACCACCGCATTACAGCGCTCCCACTGATCCTTCAGGTTGTCTTCTTGCATCTCTTTCGTGCAAGATCCATCAACGAAACCCAATTTGTGTTTCCCCCGCAGGGCTATTCTCATGGCTCGACTCCAGACGTTATAATTCTTGGCGCCGATGAGAATTTGTGAGATGATGGTTGCACCTTGTGTATCCGAAGGATGGAGGTATAGCGGATGGTTGAAGTTGAGATTCCCACCGGTAGAATCGTCCAGTTTCCTTGAATCTCCCATGGTGGATAACTGCGATCTGCTCTCCTGGCTTTCGACACGGTGTAATCAACGAATTAGGGCTTGAACACAAAGACCCCCTTCATGCGCCGCATCAACCGACGATGATGATAGACGAAACGACGTCGTCTTCTTGAAATGGCAATGGACCTTCAAGAAACCTGCTCTGGTACCATGAAAGAACGCATAGTGCAGGCCCAAAAGAATTGGTATCTTTCTTATTTAGCAGAATAATTGTCCATTACAAGTTGTAACCACAAAGGTCCTCCTATTTATCTTCGGTGCAAGACAACCACACCGAACTAAAACTAAAACTAAACCTGAATGGGCCCTTGGCCCAATAACTAAAATACATTAGTATGTTAACACATCATATCAGCACTTAAACTCAGTTGCTACTGCAGCCAGAAAAAAGAAATGCCATGAGAAGCCAAAATGGTCATTGTCACCACCAAAATGCTGAATCCCAATCCTCACCTCATATTGTCTTGGAACAGTCGAGTTTGGGCTCCCCATACTCATATGCTTCCCTTAAAAACAGACAAACAACATCTTTTTTTATTCAAATTTCATCAGTGCTATGCACATATCTGAACATACCCTTAGTAGAGTTGTTGTTATTACCACGACCACCATGCCTTCCTCCTCGTCGGCCGCGATTACGACCACCATGACTTTGTTGAGTAGCACGGTTTTGAGCAATTTGCCATAATAGGGGAGACCGCCGGTATAGAGCGGCGATTCTTTTCAATGCAAGCCTCTTGTGCCATTAGTAGCACTTCGATTTCAGCTACAGTGTAGGGCTCCAGCCTGGTGGAGATTGAGGTTATGAAAGGATCATAATCCTCAGAGAGACCATCAAAGATGAACTCCAATTGATCAGAAAGAGACACTGGGGAGCCGGTTGTGGCTAGAGCATCAATGCTAGCCTTAACCTTTAAGAGATATTTATTCATAGATGAATTCTCTTTCTTCGTATTCTTCACAGTCATTTTGAGCTGCTTTACCTTAGCTTTAGTCTGTAAAGCAAAGAAGACGCTGATTCTATCCCAAATCTGAGCAGTAGTCTCACATCCAACAGTACGAGTGAGGACCGAATCAGACATGGAAGAAAGTAGCTAGGACATGAGAAGTTGATCCTGACGCATCCACCTTGTATATTCAGAGGTAATTGCAACACGCTGATCATCATGAAGTTCAAATTACTCAGGCAGAGCAATTGATGAATCAAGAAATGATTCGAGAGCATATCCTTTCACCGTACTAAGAACTTGTTGCCGCCAGATGAGGAAGTTGCAATCATCAAGCTCGATCGAAATGGAATGAGAGAAGGCAATGACTGAATCAGAGGAAGAAACGATTGGAAGCGAAGACAAAGAAGCCATGGATCGTTCTGTGGCTTTGGATACCATATAAAAAATCTGAATGTAATTGTTTATTAATGTGTAAATTACAGCTTTAAATAGCCATCAGGCTTGTACACGTCTTACTATGCTAAGTAATCTGACGGTTACAACTGAAACAATTTGATTCAAGTATGACAGCTAATATACAGCTAATATATTATTTCTAACAGACATCACTCTTTTTATTGTTTTTTAATAGAAAAAGGCCATTTAATAGTGCTACGTCTGATCCTTAATATAAGAGTTAATTCGACATTTTATTTGGTCTTAACTATAAAGTCCCAATCTATTTTGTCTATCATATTTATTTATTATTTTCAAAGTAATATTTCCAATAGTTACACATGTTCTAGCTGATCATATGATTAATGAGAGTACTTTAGGGAAGACCATACCTAATTATTGCAAAAAACTAACTCAATAAGCTTTTTTAATCTATTTAAATTAGTCAACTGGCTTTTATATCAAGAATTGGAGGTCGTATCAATGTTTATTTAATTATGAGAAAATGACATGTAAAACCTATGTGGGTGTGTATATATGATTTGACTCTTTTATTAAAAAAAACAGAGAAAATCTTATAAAAAGACTTTTAAAATATATAAAAGACAAATCAGGATGCTAAATTTGCATAATGTCATCTCAGAATGGGTGGACCAATTTAAAATATTAAAATATTAATAAAAAACGCTATTGCCCTTGAATGTTTTTGGAAAAAAGAGAAGAGTGGACATGGGATAGCGAATGAAAAGTCGACCAGAGAACTCTCGTATCATCGTAAGAGGAGTCGTGTTTGTGCTCCACCGTCGCATGACCGTCTTCACTGTTTCATTTGCCTGTAAGGATACCCATCCCAATGAGCGTTGTCGCCTTTTTAGCTAACTTGAAGCTCACCCGGCTGTGATATCTGCGCTTGTCCTAGCTAGGATCTTTCCAATGGTTACTGTTTGGTCATCCAGTAAATTGGTTTGGTTGATTTACTATTCAATTTGTAATGCACACATGTCACGATGGATCACTGGGACTCCGTACTCGCATATGTTTCCTTGGACTGTCAAATTCATCAAAAGCCTCAAAATAAAAGTTCTTTTCACACAAGCAAAAGAGGGCATTCATCCTAGTAGAAACTAATGTGGCCATATATGAATATGTTGTAGTGGCAATTTTTGATGCTGACATCTTTATTATGCAGCGAATTTATCTGCAAGTGAGTATTGTCAAAACCATTACATATTAAAATCAATTTAAGTAGTATGTTTCATTTGATGAAGGACTATAATTGATTCATTTGAGTAAAATTGGAGTCTTCGAACATGAATGCGAATGATAACGGTTTTTCAGGTATTACCTAAACTAAATAAGCTATTGACAAAAATTGGTTCCTCATAGATAACTTTTATTAGAAGTTTACTTGGGTAAAATTGAAGTCCTAAAACATGAAAGTATATGACAATAATTTTTCAAGTATTACCTAAAACGATATGCGATTAATAAAAATTGATTTATCAATAAAAACTTTTATTGTGAGTTGACTTAGATAAAATTAAAGTCTCAAAACGTGAAAGTGAATGACAATAATTCTTCGGATATTGTCGAAAATGAATAACCATTAACAAAAATTGTTTTCTTAATAACAATTTTTATTGACAATTCATATCTAGGTAAAATTAAAGTATTAATACAACAATTTTTCAAATATTGCCTAAAATGAATAAGGTATTAACAAAAATCATTCTTCAGTAATAAATTTTATAGTAGTTTACACTTGAGTAAAAGTAGATTTCTAAAACTTTAAAATACATGACAATAGTTTTTTAGATACTTCCTAAAATGATTAAGCTATTAATAAGAATCAGTTACTCAATAACAAGTTAACAACTCTTATATGCACTGTATACTCTTTCATATATAACATTTTAATATTCCAAATTAGCCCACCCACTGTGACATCATATTACGCAAATTCAGTACCCTAATTTATCTTTTATATATTGTAAAGGTCTTTTTGTGGGAATTTCCCAAACAAAAAAAAGTGTGGATTCAAAACACATCTGTCTTTTAATTTAGAACTGAAATTAATTTTTGTCTTTCATCTGATTTTTACAATTTACAACTTATATAATGAAATTATAATAATTAATCATTTTAAGATTTTTAACAAAAAATTCAATAAAATGTAGTAAATTACAATTAATCAATTGTAAAATCATGGGAAATACAATAATACGTTGAGCTTAACTTTTTAAATCTGAATTTCGTATAAAATTTCTTAAAAATTTTAATTCTGAAATCATCACTAAATAGATGTGACAATAAACAAAATATAAAAGCCATAATTTGTTTTGGCCAACTAAAAAGCCTTAAAGTTAATGGATGGAATTATATTAAAGATATAAACATATACATATTTGGACAATACTTACATCAATTTACTTATATTCATTATACCAAGTTCTCTAACCACACAAAGTCATGTGTCTTATTTTTGAAATATTAGCATTTAATAGGTTTTAATTATAAATCTATATGAAATAAAAAAGGTCATATGATCATAAATAGTGATTGGAGAATTAGACATAATGATATAAAAAACTTGAGCTAATTAAGTTTTTTGTGTTTATAATGAAAGGCCTTAAGAAATGATTTTTTTCCTCGTGAACCAAATCTACTTTTAGTTGATTACAAAGAAAAAAAAGAAACTTATTTTAAAAATATGGGATAAGATGCTTAAATATTTTGAAAGTATCTATGGATTGGAGTAGCCGACACTTAAACTTTTTTTTAGCTCTTTTATGCCTTGAAAGTTTATCCTTTGACAGTGAAACTTAACAACAAATAATGGTTTAGGGCAGAAATACAATGAAATAAGACTCCTAGGGTATAAGAGGAAAAAATTTCAAATATTGGGTGCTCGTTAGCGAATACTTCTAGGATATTTAAGCACTTTATTTCTAAAGATAATATACAATAATGATGAATATCTCAATGATTTTATCTTCTCTTAAGTCGAGATAATAATTAATATTTTTTAATTTAAAATATAAAAAGATAAATGCCTTGTTTATCTGTTTCATGGTTTTATGTTTTTAGAATCATCTATAAAAGTTTTTAAAAATAATTTTTGAGTAGAACAAAACCAAAAAAAAAGTTTGGATAATTAAAGAAGATTATTAGAGCATGATAATTCTCATAAATTAAACGGCTTAGAATAATAAAAAATAATTAAAAAACCAATAATATAATGAGGTCCGGTGGCTAACTTTGTATACTTAAAATCTTATAATACACGGCCGATTCGCTTCCGGGTTGGGTTGGCTTAGTAATATTTTCAAAGCCAATAAGGTGGCCAATTATTACCAGAGAGAAATTGGCTGAAAATTAAATACGTCATGATTTTTGTTAATTGAATATTAATATGCTAATAATTAACCAATCATCGTGGTCACGGGGAGAAATTTCTAGTTAGCTTTTAAAATGGCAATGAAAAATTTAAGCTAAAATAAAGGACTAATAATGAAAAAGAACCTGTTGGCAAAAAAAAAAAAACAAAAAGAAAATAAAGAAAAAAGAAACCCATTCCGGAATAAACGATCCTATCCAGAAAATCACTATTCCAGGACAGAATATACAGCAAACTTAGAGTTCATTATTCAATGATTCATTCATCCTAGCCCGGCGGACTCGAGCT